TTTACACATTATACTTATACAAAATTTTGACTATTCATCTCTCCATTTTCAATAGTTGAGATTTATCATGACTTTTTAGATGAAAATAATAATTATCTTTAATAAATATGAATAAATTACAACTAATAAAAGTGGAAAGATGAATAATTAAGATTTTGTGTCAATGTGGTGAGTATGCCTACTAGGAATGATCACAATTTTTAGTGAATTGCAGAAGATTGAAATTATGGAATGGAGTTTAATTGAATGAATGAATATAATTTAAGGGTTGGGACTCCCTTTTTTTTTTTGTGAGTTGGAACTAATGTGCATTATTCTTATATATATATATATATATATATATATAAAAGGGATCCATTCATACATAAATTTTAAACACCACATTTATACAAAATCCCAACCATTTATCTCTCTACTTTTAATGATTGAAATTTCTTATGACTTTTTAGGTAAAAAATAATTATTTTTAATAAATATAAAAAAATCTCAATAATTGAAAATAGAGAGATGAATGGTTGAGATTTTGTGTAAGTATAATGTGTAATACTTGTACATAAGTAGATCCTTATTCACACATATATATATCATTTATTTTTTCACTTTCAATTATTAAGATTTATTAAGATTTTTTAGATAAAAAAATTATCTTTAATAAATATACTAAAAAATTAATAAATCTCAACTATTAAAAATGGAGAGATGAATAATCAAGATTTTATATAAATGTGGTGCATAAGATTTATACGTAAATAAATCCTCACTCTCTCTCTATATATATATACCACTTACACATAAGTCTTATATACTATATTTATACAAAATTTTAATTATTTATCTTTCTACTTTCAATGGTTGAAATTTAATCATATTTATTAAAGATAATTACCCTTTTTTTTATCTAAAAAGTTATGATAAATCTTAATTATTGAAAATGGAGAGATGAATGATCAAGATTTTGTGTAAGTATAATGTGTAAAACTTGTGTATATATAGAGGAAAGATTAATTTATACACAAGTACATTACACTTCCACAAATTCTTAACCATTCATCTCTCCATTTTCAATAGTTAAGATTTATCATGACATTTTATATAAAAATATAATTATCTTTAATAAATGTGAATAAATCTCAATAAATAAAAGTGAAGAGATGAACAGTTAAGATTTTGTATAAATATAGTGTATAAGACTTGTGTATAACTAGATCCCTCTTCCTTACATACATACATACATATATAGAGAGAATAATATAGAGCAAGTCGTTTTCCTAAAATTCTTTTTGAAGAACTTGTTTAAAAACCTACGTTTTAATTAATATTTTAAAAAATTGATCATTGAATTAGAAGTTCTATTTATGTAGATTATGCATGTAAATTTTCATATTGATCTACTACTTATAATTTTTTTATAAAAGAAATTTTATTTTCTAATGTATATTTAACGATATTAAATTTCTTATAATCGACAAAATGATTAAACCTATTAGAACAATTTGAAAATTGATATGCATGACCTATATGAATAAAATTTAGACATGTCATCCAAAACAAAATTTTAGGACATGTTGTACAACACTTATATATATAGTTCATCTTGCAAGCATGTGTATATAGTTTATCTTACACACAACTCTTACATACCATACTTACATAAAATCTCAACTATTTATCTCTTCAATTTTAGTGGTCAAAATTTATTCACATTTTTAACTATAATTATTATATTCATTTAAAAATTGGTAATAAATTTCACCTATTGAAAGTGAAGTGATGAATAGTCAAAATTTTATGTAAATATAGTATGTATTTATTTACTATAGATGGGTAGCTAATCAAGAATTAGCTTGCAATCAATATAATATATAAGACTTATGTATAAATAAATCTCTCCTCATGTGCGTATGTATATATATATATATTTTTATTTATTCTCTTAAAAGAGCACTTTGTGTTCCTCGATCATAATTCTTCTGTCAATTTACTCCTTTTTTTTTTTTAAATGTAATTTACTAACTTGTTTTATTTTGTTGGTGTCATCAAGATTCCCAATTTTCCAACAATATGAACCTGTTGTCCAACCATCATGGTGATATAAAAGAATATTATATTGTGCTCTCCATCCAATCTCGAATTCCTAGTTATAATTTAAAACCTTTTCCAAGAACTAAGGATTTGAATACATCAACCCTTTTTCATCCTATTGGTCTATCTACTTATCATAAGTTTAAGCAACATAGAATGAGAATTTAATAAAATTCAAGATTACTTTGCTTCAGTTTTTCCATCAAATGAAAATGGAAAATTTTATTCGTACAATAGAACAAGTCTTGGATTTAGCTGCAACATGACTTTCTGCAAGGAATTCCTCCCTAAGTGTTTCTTGCCAACACATCCCTAATGAGTTGTTTTGGTGCTGCAACAGAGACAGAAAATCAAATCATGAGGGCCTTTCATAGATGAGGAGAAGTTGAAAATCCATAAAATTCAAAAGCTGCAGGGTCTATCATACCAGGCAAACCGGTGAACCTTTCAAACTGTACAAATGCCTGATTGATGAACATCTCCGTTCCATATACAATTTTGGCACCGGACTCCTGTGCTTCACGCAGGAGTCTGGTCAATTTTGGAGTGTAAATGGCATCAAAGACCAGAGAGTAGTGCTTCAGAGCTTCCTGTCAAGGTGAAAGAGAAAACAATGTCAACTCACTTTAGCATATACAGCTTTTACTTCACATGTTGTACCAACTAAACTTCAGATGAATTTGATTCATAGATTAGCACCTTAATTAGAAATCAGGTTTGGGAACACAGGGATGAAGGGAAGCAAACCTTGGATAAGGGTGTGTCATCAATCCTTGGCTTCATTCCAACAGATGTAGTATTGGCAAGGATCATCCCTTCTTCTGGATGGAAATCTTTCAACTCAGCAAGAGTAATTGCTTGACCTCCAACTTTGCTAGCAAGTTCTTTAGCTTTTTCTGCCAATCAGAAAAAAAAAAAAAAAAGTCATAATTAAATACATACAAAAGCCATAAGTTTTCGTGTTAATCGTGAGACAACATGAAGATCTTACCGTAGGTGCGATTGGCAACCACTACTCTAGCTCCCTTTTCATATCCACCATAAGCAAGTGCCTTTCCAGCACCACCTGCTCCCATGACAACGAACAACTTACCAGCTAATGGGGAACCAGATGCAGGTGTACCATTTGATGCTGCAAAGAAAGAAAGTTGATTAAAATCTCATATTTGGAAGGAGCGGGCTCGAAGAAGGAGAAGAACGTTGTGTAGATTATAAATGCATTACCTCTTAGTCCCTCCTCGATTGCTGCAATGGCTCCAAGGTAGTCAACATTGTATCCCATCAATTTTCCATCTGGTCTCCTAATCATGCAACTGATTGCTCCAATTGCCTGCAAAAGCATTGATAAAAATTAAATCAACTATGCCTGTCCAAAATGAGAGAACGAACAAACTTCAAAGGCATAGGCTAACACTAACATGTTGATATGTTTAGTGCTAAAGAGATAAAGTAAACACCTTGGCAATGGGATCAACTTCATCACAGCATCTAAGACCATCCTCCTTGTGTGGAATTGTATAACTGCAAGTTTTATCTAAAAGGATCACTCCCATTAACTAAGAAAGTAAAGCATGTGGAATTCAAATGATTTTTGTGAATAAAGAAGCATAGCATTCTGTCTAAATCAGAAGTCAACGAAAGTGGTACTAATATATGTTAACTCCTCAAGCTTCTGAGGGCAAACTTTACCTGTATCCAACAAAATCAGGGGATGAATAGGTGCTGATATATTTTGCAACATTGTCAACCAACAGAGGTAGATATATTCCATTGAATCCAACAGACTTGAATGCTGCATTGTAGAGGTGAGGACTTTTGCTGTGACCAATAGGCTTTCCAATAACACCATGTACTTTGGTATCAGCTCCTAACTGTCTGAAATTGTATAAATCTAGCAGATCTTTGATACTAGGTTGTCCAGGAGCTGATACTGCTTCCCCGTTAAGTGCACCAAAAGTGAGAAATCCACCAAATTTTGCGGTAAGGATCCTTGACATTAATCCTCTCTCACCCATAGCAAGTCCTATCATGGGGACCTACAAATTCAGATCAATTGTTAATGACAAAATGGGAGTAACTGCTGTGACAAATAAAGAAAGATACAAGCAAATAAAGAAACATGAATGTAGTTTAAGTGGTAAAAGTTCAGAAAGCACTAGCATGGCTACTTAGTTACTCACATTGGAATGCACAAGTACTTGGAAGATTCTAGCATTGTCTATGATGTCCAATGCAGTTGTTGCAACCTTCACTATATCAGCTCCAGTGGCCTGTATTCTTGCCACAAGATCACCTATTTCCTCAACTGATGGGGTATTTTCGTAGTTGTGTGAAGAAACAATGATTTTGACCTTTCCAGACTTCTTCCCTTGAATTGAATTGAAGAAGTCATGAGCAACCTTCAAGAGGCAAATTCAATGTTACTAATGGGTACTGAGCAATTGGCACAGCAAATCTCAGTTAAGTATTCAAACAATAACTATGAGAAAATGATTATAGACAGTATAGCATTTGGGGTGCTCAACCTTAAGCTCAACATCAACGTAATCTGCTCCCAGCTCCATGGCTAGACGTAGTGCTTCTTGCCTCTTGCTTTCATCACCATTGTACTGCCCGCCTTCCCATGTTGGCCTAAAGCACATTAACCACAAGAAAGATTGTGAGTCTGGCAAGAAACCGAATCAGCAATCACAAGTGCTAATTTACACGAATAGATCATGCTTTTTTCCCAAATTGTCTTCTAGGCACTAAATGTTACAAATTTGCCAAATTTTCCAAATCTAGTTGCTTAGAAACTTTTGGAAAAGAAGTTGAAACTCTGTCTTTCAACCTTTTGTTATACATTTACTGCTGCTAATTAGAAAGCTGGACTCCAAGATATCAACTTCTAATTACATAGCATGACACAAAAAACTGACTATGTATTAATACAAAGTTCATCTGACTAAATACTTTAAGTATCATTGGCACTAATTAACAAGAGAACGATCGGCTTATACACAACTTTTACATTCACTTATATAAAATCTTAACCATTTATCTCTTTACCATGAATAATTGAAATTTATCACAACTTTTTAGATTAAAAAGATAAATTATCTTTAAAAAATATGATAAAAAATAAATAAATCTCAATCATTTATAGTGGAGAGATATTGATCAAAATTTATCTAAGTGATATGTATAAAAATTGTATCACTTATATGTAAATAGATTCTAACTTGATTAACAGAGTGTCTAAATTTTCACAAAAAAAAAGAGGAAAAAATAAAAAAGGTGTCTAAATCAAGTAATATTTCTCAAATCCTTTCTCCAATACTTCCTATTAAATCATGTACCAAAAAAAAATACTTCCTATTAAACCGAAGGGACATTGACTAAATTTCATGGTCTTTTTAAACAAGAACTCAGATACAGCAAAAATAACAGTAGGCAGTAGAGTTAGAGATAAACACACCAAGAAAAGCTTTAACGATTTATTACCTGAAAGTAAAAAGAGTAGGCAGAGAAGCTTGCTTGATAAGTACACCAAGATCTTGTCTTGGACTGAAGTTCTTCAAGAAATCCAACCTAACCTCAACAAGATCAGCACCAAGTTCCTTAGCCATCCGCATCTTAACCAGCATCTGATCAACTGATTCTGCCATCACTGGCGCACACATTAGCGTCGAATTCCTTCGTGCTCCATCGACAATTCGAAGATCCGCAGTAGTCAACTAAGAAACACAAAATTTCATAAAATTACACAGTGGACTAAAATCTTGGTACCATAAACTTTTAAAGCCTACCGAACCTAGACCAAAATCAAAAACAGTAAAAGCGAAAAAATTTTATAGCAAAGCTTCATTAAGCTAAGAAAATTAAGCAATGTTCAACAAAGAAATTAATAGAACAGCATACAAAATCTAGGAAAGTATATATGCATATAAACCAAATTGAGATAATTACATTATCATTTCTAAAAAACTGGCAGACAAAGAAACAAAATTTCAAAGTTTATACTCTCAATTTCCGGCATTTAAAACTTTAGATTCTTCCATTTTTCTTAAAAAGAAACAACTGAAGTCATCATTCACCAAGCCGGTTCTATTAAAATGGACCCAAAATTTAATCTTTCTTTCTCTATAAATATTTCTGCTCCTGATTTTGTTTCCCAGAAACTAAACAAATCATCTTCAACATTTGGGACCCATGAAGAGATCAAGAGAAACCAATTACACACTGCATTGAATTCTAGAAACCATAAACTGTGCTATTCACAGAAAAATAAAGAAAGAAGGCTTACCGGAGCGCTTCCGAGAGTCATTGTGTAAGGACTAGAACAGAAAGTGGCGAAGTTTCTTCTTCCAGCAATCTGATTTGAACAAAGGAAGAGGAGAAAGTGTATTTGGTGGGTTAGTTAGGCTCGTGCATATATATACACAGGGGAGAGCAGCTGCCAAGCTGCACCTGAAAGTGTATTTGTTTGTACATTTTAGAAGACCGTTAGATGGTTTTGGGAGGCTCATATATTTATTTATTTTTCTTTCCTTTGTATTTCTATCCAATTTTATAAATATATATTTTTTTCTATTTGCAATTTTTTATGATGTACTATTATTTTCTTGGTGGTCTTATTTTTATTTTATATTATATTGTTATAGGAATTTTTTAACATATACACTTAAATAAAGGTTAATAATATAATAAATATATTTTTTATTATAAATTTATGTTAAAAAAATAAAAATTAATTTTTAATATATTAATTGTCCAATTAAATTTATTTATATATCAACAAAACTAAAATTAATATTAATTTTTACATTTTTTTATACAAATTTTTTATAAAAATATGCCCTTAAGGATATAAATTAGATTAACCCATTGTTTTATTATTGTATATATGTTTATCACGTGAACTCTAAAAAATAATATAGCAAAAATGCCTTAAAGCTAAGTTTTTTCAATTAAGTACTATAGAAAAGAAACTAAAATGTATTCATTTCTACTTTAATAATAAGTTATTGTTTGTTTTTCAATTAGAGTTTATTGAAAAATGACATAAATTAACAGTATTTTTCTACTAATTTTTTTAAAATCTAGCTAATAAACACTTTGTTTTTGGAAGAGGTAGAATTTTTTTACACACAAATTTTATATAAAAGTAAAGCCATTTATTTGTTTGCTATTAATAACTGAAATTCATTATGAATTTTTAGATGATAAGAGACAATGAACTTTAAAAATAAAATAAAAAGTGAATAAATTTTAAGCATTCATGATTAAAAAAAAATTGCTTGGAATTTTGTGTATGAATTATGTATGAGTTGTATATAAATTGAACATTACTCATTATTGAATATGAAATTATGAATATATTGTACTTTTAGGATATGTTTGGTTAATGAGGGAATGTTCTTCCTCCTTAATTTACCCAAAAAGTTTAAAGATATTTTAATATTTTTACACATCAAAACTATAACAAATAAAAGTCAGAATTAGTATTTTTAATCTATATTTTCCCTAATGCAATTCTTAATAAGAAATCCTTTCATTGGACATTTTATAAAGGGAAAAACTTTTATCCAATTTTTCCAATGCGAGTCCACTTGACAATTTTCTCTAAACTTTCTCAATATTAACTCTTTACGAAACACAGAAAGTTAAGAAAATTTTTTTATCAAACTTATTAACTTTTTGTAGTATCATTTCTAACATTTTAGACAGTACTTTCCTAGTAACTTTCTCAATTAAAACTTTATGAACAAAATTAGCTGCCAACTCCAACCAAGCAAACATGCTTTTAGAGTTGTCAATAAATGAACTTGTAGCAGCCTCTTTTTGCATGTACGGTGTAACTTCAAGTAAACAAGCTTCTCTTCTCATACACAATTCAGAAATGAATTTTCAAGTGTGGGATGCTTAGCTTAATTCTGTTTATAGGTGAAACTGTTCTAAGCTTGTATATAGGAAGTTAATATATAAGATCCTAGCAAATTCCAAGCCCATATGCCTCATCCATGAAGCAAAGTTTAATACTGTCAAGTAAGAAAATCTTAGTCAAACGGAAGAAACATGTAACTATAAACCGTATGAACCTCTTCAAGTATTATTGTTTACTTTTATATATTATATGTAAGGACAATAATTGATATACTTTCTATGCAACACATCTCACAAAATACTTATTAAGAAATTGTTATCTCTAAATTTCAATTAAAGGTGAGAAAATTAAAAATTACAGTTTTTAATAGTTGAATTAGTGAGTGTTATGGTGAGTGTTGAACCAAAAGAATGTACCAATCATTTTCTTATATATAAACTTACAATTATAACATATTGTTATATGATTGGCTCTTTTTATTTGGAAATTCACCCATTATATTATATATATCTAATTATTTAATGACATGTCATAATTATAAATTTATAATACTATGTAATATTATAATTTCTCTTTCTTTTCCAAAATAGCTGTTAATTTTGATTTTGAATTTGTTATACATTAATTTTTATTTTTTTATTTTTCAAAGTAAACAAATATTTTTTTGATATTTTAATCCTATTATTATCTATTTACTTTAATTATTATCTTATCACAAAAAAGCTTTTCTTTATCTTTATTTAATTTTTATGGGTAATATAAGTGCATACATAAATTTTTCTCAAATCCTTAAATTTGTAGAAAATAATTAAAAAGAGAATTATTTTAGGATAGAGTGAATGTATATTGTTTTTTATTTTTAGTACCATGGATAGACTTTTTAATTTATCAGTTGATATAGATATATTAAATATCTTGAAAGGAGAAAAATAATATGCAGAGGAAAATTATATACGTGATCTTATCTCCCAATATACTTTATTTTTACTCCATAACTTTTTTTTTTTTTTTTTTGTGTCTATTGGTCAAGATTTTCCTAGGTTTTTTTTTTTTTTTTTTTGTGTCTATTGGTCAAGATTTTCCTAGGTTAATTTATGTATATTTCAAGACTAACTCCTTCTCAATTCAGTCAAAAGTAAGTCATTCATGTGATTACGAAATTAACTAAGAGTTATTTTTCATTGACTACCTCAAGAAATTGAATCTTTCTAAACAATGTCAAAAGCATTATTCCATAACAATTACTTTTTATTTATTGTTAAAAGATTTAATTAACTACAAAAGAAAATATGTAAATCAGTAATTTTTAAAGTTAAGAAAAAAAAATATAAAAAATATATATATATATATATATATACATGGTGGGGTTGTGAATCATTATGAAAAATAGAGAGGAAAAACGCATAAAAGAAGAGAGTTTAAGGGGTCCTAGCCACTTTGGCCAAAAAAAGGAAAAAATAGTGGCGCGTTAGCCAACTAACTTTTGAAAACGAGAATCGGCAATTCATCGCGACCGGCGAGGAGTTAGGTGAAGAAAGGTCGCCTTTGGATTTTGATTTTAATTCTGGACAGCTAGTTTTAGCAAATTCTCCTGCCCTTTCTTTTTCATAGAATATTTTCGGTTCTGGCCAATATTCAATACTCTTTTACCAAATTATTTTAAGAAAAATACTTGTTTTTAGCTAATGTTTTGTCTTCTTATTGCACTTCCTATTGAAATGACAGATGCTGATTATTGACCTACAGTTACAGCGTTCCAACTACTAATCACATTCTCACAGAGACCTTCAGTCACAAATGTTGGTTATGTAAATTTATTTTTAGGCCGTGTTTGGCATAAAAAAATTTCTCTCATGCTTAGAAAAGTTTAGGGGTTTTTTAAAATTTTCATATTTATGTACCACAACAAATAAAAGTTAAAATTAATATTTTTAAACTTTACTTTTTACCATAATTCTTGATAACTAATCTTTTTGTCTCACTTCTTTGGAAAGTAAAATTTTTTTCTGAACTTTTTTAATGTAGAACTTATTTAATAATTTATATTTAACTTTTAAACATTAATTTCTTATTAAATATAAGAAAATGATAACTTAACAAAATTAGAACACAAAATAATACTACAATATTTATTAACTTCCTTACAATAATTTTTAACATTTTATATATTAACATTTTTTTAATAAATGCGTTCCTAATAAAATTACAAACACGCCTTAATGTTCGGATAAATATGTAAGTTAACTACTGTAGAATTTCAAATATCCATCAAAATGATTTTAAAATGTAGTGGACTGGTGGGGTGCCAATTGAACTGCCATTTCGTTAGTTTTCTCTTTTGAAGTATTCTGTCCATTTACTCAAAAATATGTAGGGACTCTATTTTTTTCTTTTTATGCTAATGATATAGAATATTATTATTATCATTATTATCATTATTACTATTATTGTTATTATTATTATTTTATTTTTTTTAAATGTAAGAAATTTTTAAAATAAAAAAATTAATAGGATCTAGATGTAAAACTTAAAATTTTATATACTAACATCTTCCTTTCAAATATATGGTTATTATGCAATTTAGTGTTAGACAATAATAAGGAATACTATTGAAGTCATAAAGGGGAAGAGAGGTGGTGGATGATATGACAAATTCTAACGGTCAAATATTAGAAGGAAAAGATATGACACATTCCTGCAAAGGGCGCTTTAGATGTGCCGACCTAGGCTAACTAATTTCTAAGCGCACAGGGTGTTCTTATCACCGCATACATATTTTTTTAAGATTATATAATTTTTATTTAATTTAATTAATATTTTATTATTTTATTTTTGTTAAATAATTAGATATAATATTTAAAAATATTATATTATAAAATCATTTTAATTTATTAAATAATAAATATAAATTATTTTATTAATTATTAATTATTTTTAATAATTAAATTAAATAAAATTAATATTTTTAAAAGTAATATTGTATAACATTAATATTGACATTTGGCAATAATCACAGCTCCACTAAAACAGTTTTTTGTTTACTTAGGAGAATTATTGAGGAAAAAAAATAATATTTGAAGATAAATCTCAAAACTTTCACATTTAAATTTGTCCCCACAAAAAAAAAATCATTAAATCAAATTGTACTACACCTGCACTAAAGCGTTTAAAAGCAAAATATACATTTTAACAATTAGGTTAAAAAAAAAAAACCCCATATCGAGCAACTGAAAAACACCATGATATCTATCGCCCTTGCCATATCTACTTGCACCCCTACTTACTTAAAAAGGGTGGAGCATTTATTCCCCCAAAAGAAATGAAGGACACTGTACCCCTTTTTACCTAAACCGCTAAACGTACAGGTGGCAATTTCCTGGTCCATTGTGGAGGCTGGCGGGAGGATACAGGGAACGTTTTTTTTTCCTTCCAGGGACTTTTCCCCACTTGCGGTACCCTGTAGATCCCGTATGCTCGTAAAAAAAATAAAAAAATAAATAAATAAATAAAAAGTACAATAAACTCTTATGGTAAAACCATTCCTGAACCCCTTAACTTACTCCATTTTAGCTGATAAGTCCCCAAACTAAAAAGAAAAAGCAAATAAACACTTCATCTTGGATATTGCGGCAAATTAACCCTTAATTGACTTCTATCATTAGATGTAACTGTTACATAGTTAAAAGAAACGAGATGACTAAAGGAAAATGCCTAAGGACATGTTTAGATTAGTTTCTCTCAGTTTCAATTTTTTAGTACTATTTATATTTCATAAATTTAAATTTTTTAAAAAATTATATATAATTAAGAAAAAAGTGCATATAAGTCTCGACTCTTCAAATGAATTAAAGTCTCAACCTTAAACTACATCATTTCATAGTTTTATAGTGATATTGTTCTCTTGTTGCCGCCAAAAGAGAGAATTGTTGAGGATGAGAGTTTGCAAAA